AAAAATGGCCGCGGACCACGTGTCAGGGGTGGAAAAATGGCCGCGGACCACGTGTCAAAGGCGGAAAAATGGCCACAGACCGTGTCACGGGAGGGAAAATGGCCACGTATCCTGCTCGCACCCCGAGGCGGAGTTCGCAAACCGAGGTAAATTTTTGCGGCCGGAGCTGGTCGTAACCCGAAAAGTTCATTAACAGAGGCGTTTGTAACCCGAGGTACCACTGTACTTTCTTCTGTCCAACTGCATGCCACTTGCTCTAGCAAAAATATCACTTTATAACTGGAAGTTATTTTAATTTTTAATTTTAATTTTTAAAAACTTTTAGCCAAGAAATGGTCAACCTGCAATCCTCCAGAAGTTGCTGAACTGCAACTCTCATCATCTTTCACAACTGACTATGCATCTAGGATTCATGGGATCTGGAATTTTAACAATTTCTGGATGATAGGACATTCCTCATCCCTGTCTAATTGCATTTCCTGCAGTTCTTGAAGTATGTGTTCAAAGTATGTAAGTATATAAGAGTCCCTTGGCGCTGCCCAGAGTCACTTGGATTAAGATGGGTGGCTATAGAAACTGCACAAATAAATAAATAAATAAATAAAATACAAAACTTTTCAGCAACAAGAATTGGGTTTTTTTTCATTCTAAGTGCTTGAAACTCTAGATATCCAGGGCAGCCCATTACCTTTGACCTATGAACCTCGCCATCGTCATCCTCCCCACCAACACCTAAGATCTTCCTTGTCTTCAGACGGCTCACAAGGTCTGTCTGGCTGTGCTTCTTCATCAAAGGGGGAGGCTGCTTGGTTGCCATGGTGACTCACAGGTACTTGGTGGCTTGGGCAGAAACTGAAATGAGACAGACTAGAGGTTAGATAAAATAGAAAAACATACACCTTAGGGAGGGTCAAATCCAATTTTTTTAAAAAAATGTTCATGAAAATCCTTTCATTTAATGCAAATGATTCAGCCAAACACACTATCCCAAAATTATTATTTTGTCACAAATTTCTAATCACCCTGACAATTACAGCAATAAAATATTTTTAACCCCAGAATATTTACTTCCTCTTGAATGGTGAGGGCATACTAAGAGCCCCCTTTTACCTCATGGTACATCTACGATCATGAAAACTTTAGAGAGGAACATGCAAGTGTAGCAGTAAATTCTGTTTCTAAAGTTATATCTCAAAGGACTCTTAAACATTTACAAGATCAGCTTCTTCATGCTTCCTAGCCTGAGAAGCTATAGCAACAATACACTCAGGCATAGGATTCAGCTCACAGATTGCACAAAACAGGGGTGTGGGGATCACAGGGATCTGCCTCAATGAGATGCCTTGCCTCACAGAGGTTGGCACACCACCTTGACACTGCAAAGCATTGGTCCATCACTCTACTCTCCCCCAGTGAAGAGGTCCCGTGGTAGGACTCGTCAGCATCAATCAGTCTACCTCAAAAAGAGTAGCTGAACACAAGATGCTCTTGCTGGGCAAAGCCAAGAGGCACTTTTCCTGAACTGGGTTTCTATGATCATGATCCAATGCTCTGACCCAACTTTCCTCAACCTGTATTTCCTAGGCAGCTGAAACTACAATAGATCAGTCCCTAACCGCATGACCAATTGTATTGTATTGTAAAACAGCTGCTGTGAGATTAGAAACCTTAAATCAGGCAGTTCATGTTCTTGAAGATCAGCCATGTCCACCTTGGTATCATCCAGATATGTTGTGACCATCTCTGGCCATGCTGGCTGAGAATTCTGGGAGCTATATCCCCAACACATCTGGAGGCAGATGTGTTACAGATTCGTATTTTTGGTATCTGTAGATTTCTCAGGTTCTGAAACCAGACAGGGCAGTCACTGAAATCTATTGAAGACAGCTGCTTTGTGTGCTTTCATCTTATTAATTATAGTGGGTGTGGGAAGCTTTGTTATCAGCCAAGAGCCGGTCTTCCCTCCAGCTCATGGAAAGTGGAGAGGTTTACGATTCCAAAAGAATTATAGGAGGTTTTCTGTTTCTAGTTCTGTTTTAAAGACAAGGAAGTATAGCATTTAGTCATGCCAGTGTGCCCCCATGGCCAAGATGCAGAGAGAGATAGCATAAATTAGAATCAGGCAATTATGATGGTAATGCCAGCCTATTTGCAAGGGACCATGGGACCACAAGAAAAGAAAAAAAGATGGCACAGAAAGGAGGCATTACTGAGCTACACTCCAGAACCTGGAATGAACAATTCATGTGAACATTTCTCACCATCATTTTCTCAGAAGGATCTCCTGTTCTTTCTGTTGGAATTAATTTTTAAGCAAATATGTTTTGGAAATAGGCTGTATTTTAGTTTCCATAGTTTAATTATAATTCATACTTGAAAAGTGCTTTCCTTCTATTAACTACAGAGATCCAGCAATGGAGGAGAATGGTGTGTGTGTGAAGAAATACACAGCATGTCGATTTCACAGAAAGATACACAGAACACCTTGATAGGGCAAGCAAAGATGGAGGTTTCCTGGGAGGGGTCAATTAGCTGTGGGCTTAATTTCTCTAAAGCAGCCTTCCCAACCTGGCCCCCATCTGAGGTATGACTTTCAACTCCCAGAATTCTCAGCAATAGCTGAGACTGGCTGAAGAACGACAGGAGTTAAAGTCCATATATTGGAATGGCATCTAGGCTGGGAAAGGCTTTTAAATCTGCACCACAGTATCAGACAGAGTGAAAACAATTGTTCTAGGAGGAAAAATCTAATTTTTCTAATCAACATGGCAACATGGACTTCCTAAATCTGGTAGGTGAGATTTACATACGGAATCCAATCAGAGATCTAGAAAGCACCCCATTTGGGAAAACTATATTAAAGAAACATTAAATACTACTGAAACACTATAGCTCAATAATTTATTCCTTTCCCATTTTTCTTTTAATTTGCTAACAATTTTTTCCCTTATTGAGGACAAAGCTGATTTCTTCAGGCATTTTTAAATTAGATACAATACAATAACTTGGACTGCAAGGACTTCTAAAGAAATTTAAAAAAAAAAAAGGAAAGTAGAACATAAAATCCACCCAATTCATCTTGTTCTCCTTAAGTAATAGATATAATCTTAGAAACATATATTTCAAAGCAATTAACAGAGGTGCTGATACTGCATAAGAAATGTTAATCATTCCACTGATATTAATTAAAGAGAAAGAGATAATTTATGTGCACTGAATTAGGCAACCTGAATAAAATATCAAAACAAAGAAAAATTGCCATACTGATGAGGAACACTTTCCCAAAGTGATACCCTCCTGATTTTTGGGGACTTCAGTTCTCAAAATTCCCAACCAGTTTGCTTTTGGAAGGAAGGAAGGAAGGAAGGAAGGAAGGAAGGAAGGAAGGAAGGAAGGAAGGAAGGAAGGAAGGAAGGAAGGACATGAGATTCTTTTGCAGAGATAGCTTTTTTTTTTCTTAACCAAAGCAGTGGGAAGAACTGCACCTTTAAAGAGACTGCTCAATCTTTTACATGTGTGCGAGAGAGAGGATGACCTGAAAGCTCTGAGCAAGCCTCCTTGCAGGACATAAGAGATTTATTCCATTGAATTTATTACCTTAGTGTTATGTAAAGCTATTACCGTCTGATATCATTTAACTATGACTGTTGTTCTTCTAGCAAACACAATGCTCAAGTCTGTTTATAACTAAAGCCTTATATTTTGCTCAATAGATAATCCCAGAAAACAGGGAAATCACCCCTTAGAACCCCCCTCCCCCACTGGTGGAAGTCTTTGGCCTCAGCCTTTTGTTTACAGTGATTTGCAAAGGACTGAAAGAGATCCTGCAGGGAGATCTCATGGGGAAACAGTTTCTTCAATTCAGGACCAGCTTCCATATGAAGTGGAGGGGCTACAGGTGCTTTGGAAACATTAATTTGATTGATGCAGCCTAAAACTACATTTCTTCAGAAGAATGATGATCACATATGTGCATTTGATTTTTGACTCCTCTCTCCAACCTCTTCATCCAAGACATTAATGAAAATACTGAATGGTAAAGAATCCAGGATTAATCTTTATGGCACCCTATTTGATGTCTCTCTTCATTTTGATGAGCAACCACTGCTGAGAATTCTTTGAATATACTTTTCAAGCCAGTCAGGTATCTAAATTGTCAGGAATCCTGGCAAGATAGTGATCTGTTGAGATAGATTGTTTCTCTCCCTATGCAAGTTGTGAAAACAACACTTTTGACTGTTGTGAAGAAAACTGGTAATCAAAAAATGCCAAGTCTGTTGTTTTTTTGTCACTCTTGTAATTTTGGACAGATAAAATGCCTTGTCAACACAAGGTGTAGTTTTTTCTTTCTCCCTCACCTCCTCCCATGGAACAGATGGCTTCTCCTGGACAGCCCCCACAGCTGTGGCTGACTTTGGCTGAAACTCTCTGTGGAGAGTGATTTTACCATCAGATTCCTTCTGATATTTCTATATGAGATATAAAAAATGTTGAGTGGTTGGTGACGTTACCAGCAATTAATTGATGTCTTTCAGAAGATGCTGTTAAAGTAGATCTACTGGGAAAAATGGTATTTAAAAAAACAAAACAAAAAGAGCCAGATGTTAAAGTTGAATTAGCTGAAAAATACATTCATTTCTCTAGAAGAGAGAGACAAAATTAAAAAAAGAAGGTCAAGCATGCAGGAAAAAAAACCATGCTCAGAATTTTCCTTATGAGAAAGATAAACAATCCATTGCAAATGCGATGGAAAAATGCATTCAGAACATGTCGACTACGATAAATTGCTTGATTCAGGTTTTCACATGCCTTCAAAATATAACTGTTTCTGAAGTCCTAAACCTGTTGTTGTAGAATCCTTTTTGATCATGATTAATATATCACAAACAGCCAGGAATGTAAAAGTTATTGAATATAAGGTAAAAAATGTAATGCTATTCCCAGAAGGATTGGTTAATACAGTAAATATAAAGTTTCATCAAGCACATCCCATAATGTGACAATGAGAGGTAGAGATCTTTTCCTTATACTCTACAGTTTTTGGCTTCCCCTAGATAATGGGTAAGGAAGATCTGTGATCCTGAAATGACTGTCAACTGTCTTTAGCAATGGATAAATATTCAGATTGTGACAGGAACACTACAAAATCCCATTGAGAAATGATTTGTTTGACTGGAGGGATAATTTCACATATTATTACATATATATGGAATGAGGCATCCAGTCCTTATTCCCCTTTTTCCTTTTTAAAGGATCACAGCTAAGCAGGGAAGGAAAATGAGATTCTGTGGCTTAGTCCTTAAAGAACTAGCTTATTCCCACTTTAATGTTTTTATTTTAACTTGTATTTTGTACACTTGTTTATTCATTTCTGTTGTACATGATTTTTTAAAAAATACTATGGCAGCAACCAAAGTCACAGTTCTTTTTTTTTCTTTTTTCTTTGCCCATATTTAGCATTTACATTTTAAGTTTTTATATTTTATTTAAGGATAAATGGCCAAAAGTCCATTGGAATAGTACTTTAATTTGCTTCTGAAAAACAAGGAGAGTTGAAGCCATCTGTACTTCCATGGGTGAGGCATTCTATATAATGACTTTAGTACTAAGAAATTTCAACCCCAAATCTATTTGAATTTTGTATTTTAACTAAAACTTGGGATCTAATCCTATTTCCATTCTAGAAAAGAATGTATCTAATACTTTTGGTTGTTTTGTTAAACAATATTTGCTCTATGGAATAAGTATAGTGTTGAGAGGTATAATAAAATGGTGGATTTATCATCATAAATTGATGATAATACAGCCTGAAGCTGTTTTCTCAGAAGAAATTTATATTCTCCCTGATGAAA